AAATTATATATATATATATATATATATATATATATGTATGTGTGTGTGTGTGTGCACGCAATATTGAACGTTCATTATATATTAACAAGGTCAGTATGAACTATCACTTCTATTAACTGTACAGTCGAGAAAACAATGCAAACAATCTCATATGAATAGTATTTATCACTCATGACCAGATAATCCACGCCTAAATAAACAAATAAATCTCACATAACCAAACCTTTACCTTTGACTAAACGGCATAAGTCTGGTCCATATCGCAGCTTATTCTGCAAACGCCTACTTAGACAGGAAGTGCTTATATAGTGACCCACCACATTTTGTTTAGATGCAGGTTCATATGAGATATTAATAGATTAGATCAGTGTTTCCCAACCGGGGTGCCGCGTCTGTCGAGAGCAGGGGTGCCGTGTAAAAAATCATTTTTTAATATTTTTAAATTGCTAAAATGTTCAAAAAAGCATCTATTATATAATATCCATTTCTGATGTCGCCAATAATTAGAGATGCACTGAAATTTCGGCTGCCGAAAATTAGTTCACCGCTCAGGTTTCACTTTCACGTGGTGTGACGCTCTGCTTATTATCCCGCTCTATGCGTGTGCGCTCCGCTCAGTCGCTCCACTCGTATACCGTTCATGCTCATCGGAATAGCAAAGTCCACTCAAAAATCGAGCTGACAGGAATCATCTATGTAGTACAGTATTGTTTCTGTCTGCAATAGCCCTACTGTGTTGTAACATGGTGTGGTATATGGGCAACTCTGGTAACGCTGCCCTCTCATTCATTGATCTGCTAACCGCTATGTTATGCTCATGTGTCCTCTGATGATAATAGCTTTCTAGGATTAAACATTATTTGGATAATTGGTAAAAAAAAATCTCTTAATAGCTCTACTGTGTGTTAGACCTACCTGAAAAACTAAAACGCAATTTATTTAATTCGAAGGCCTGTTGTTATTTTTTATTTGTGCTATCATTATTAATTTCTTTATTTGTTCTTATTTTATTATTAACTGCTTAGCCTCCTTGTCATTTTTTATTCAATTCAAAGTTTGAAATCAAGCTATCTCGTGCTACTGCAACAAAATTACCCAGCTGTAAAATCAAAACTTTGTTTAACTAGCTATCTCACAATGTTTACATATGAGTAAAAGCCTACATTAAAATCTGTCATATACATAGGTCTTTTCATTAGAAATTAGCCTACTGATTGCCACCATTGATGGACAACATTTTTTAATAATATTAAAAATATCTCTATGACATTATATTCTGCAGTTCTTCCCTGTTGTACCGAATATCTATACTTTTCAAATTATCATATCGAAGTTAGAAATTCAAATATTGTGACAAAATTAATTTTGTAGGGTGCCACAAGTTTGTTAAAATTTCCAAAGGGTGCCGCGACTAAAAAAAGGTTGGGAAACACTGCTCTAGTCTATACATGCATATTTGCCAAGAATACAGGGGTGCACAGATACTGAAATTCTGGATAATTATTTTCATGTTCATGGCCAATAACCAACAATAAATTACTGATATTATAAATATAAAACATTTAGTTAAAATAAGACAATTTAAAACATATTGAGAAAAAAAGAGATATATTGTGTACCACTAAGAAAATTGGCTGATATTGATATCCAATAATTTGTTTTAACCGATAACTTTTATAATAATCAGTATTATAACAAAAAAACAAGTATTTTAATCAAAAAACAGTATTCAGCAGTAAAGAAAAACTTTATAATAATACAATATATAAAAAGCTAAACCTAAAGTATAGGCCTACAGAGAATAAAAGATGGAAAACTTTTGAAGCATAGCATTTCATGTCTAAATTATGTCAAATCATATTTCCAATACTACTACTACTACTACTACTACTAATAATAATAATATGGCAACTGCTCCAGCATAGCATTCATCCATGAAAAATGTGTAAACATTTCATTAACTGATATATGATTAGTTTGGATGATGCTTGCTATTTTAAATTAAATAAAACATAAAAAAACAAAATCTGGCACAGTGTAAATAAAATTGATGAAACTGCCTATTTTAAATGGCACTGAAACAATAAATGAATGGAGAAATCTGTAAAATGAAAAAAATAAATAAAATAAAAATACACTAGCATGCAAATGTCAATGAAAACATCAGAAACATTTTACAGCATTTTAAACAACTCAATATCACAATTTTTACTATGTCCGCAGTCTTGCATACCCTATTTTCATAATAAATACACTACTTTCAAAAATGCTTTTTGTTGTTGTTCATCATGATTGCACAAAAAGTTATTTTAAAAACTGTGTTTGATTTTCTTCATATAGGGCACTGAATACCAGTACTCATCCAATTGTGTGTGTGTGTGTGTGTTAAAGGTCAGAGTGCAGATGGTGAGCTAAATGTGTTGAAGACTTTTTCTTCAGCGAGTGTATATGTGTGTGTGTGTGTGTGCCAATGTCTGACGTGATGAATGGCTCCTCTGGCTGATAATGCAGATGGCAAATGAACACCAATGCTGAAAGATACACCACCACACAGAAAGGCTGTAACAAAGAGCAACCCGCACTGAAATTCTTCATCATTTCATACAAATGTAAAGCTTTCATAAATAAGGATTTCTGTGACGGGGAGACAAACCATAATGTAGTATTTCTGTCTACTTCCTCTCTTCCTCACTATACTTCAGTGTCTCTAAATGGAGGCTCTTGTTTCAGAGTGATAAATACCTCAGCTTAGTGCCAGAACAGTCTAAAAGCACCACTGCCAGACAACAAAGTGCCTCTTTCGAAAGAGAGAAGCGATAGCAGAAAACCAAAATAATTAATTCTGCAGTTTAACCCGGTTTCATACAGCTAAGTTATTGACGACTGAACTATACTGAGCTTGAACACGGCTTTCAAGACTTAGTTGCAGGAAGAAACCAATTAGCCACACAGCACAATGCCAATAGCTGCATGACTTAGCAGACACCGTGTGAATGCTGATAGCCCGCTATGTGAAAGACAAGCGTACGTGTAATCTGTCTATATTAGACCATCAGCGTTCCAGAGAGGTTGAGGTCCTCAGGAGGGCATTGTGGAAATGGAGAGGATATACTGATGAAATAGTAACCAGAGGAAATGAATCAGGGAATTGTTAATGCTGTTGTCGACAGGAGAGGATGACAGTAACACAGAAAAAATATACAGACAATTGTACGTAAGCACAATGGAGGAAAACCATGTATACAGTCCGAGCAAAAATGTAATATAGCAACCAGTTTGTGCCAAAATACCAGTTGCTATACAGGTCTTGATACTTACTTTTTGTCCCCCAAGGAGCACATGTGCTCCTAAGTTGAAAAATTTAAGAGCATATTAAAAAACTTTTGGGCCGCAATGAAAATGATCAAATAATGTGTTTTTCCTTAATAAAGGCATGCAAGGAGACATATACAAAATAATAATAATGTATTTAACAATTTATTATTTGTAAGGTATATAAAAACATGATTATTTTGCCAATACTAAAATCTATATATTGAATAACATGTGTTAAATGTTTCCAATCTTTCCTTCCTGTGATGGGGCAGCCCAGAAAAAAGCTACAAGAGTTGCTAGATGCAGTATTCTATGTAACCAAAATAATAACCTGGGAAAAAAAAAAAAGGTTTGTGGAAGGTTTGTGGAACTAAAAATGTATTAGACATTCATAGACTTGCATAAATGATATGCTTGTTTATTAGATAGAACTGTTACACAAAGACTGCAAACTATCAAAGATGGAGACATTTACTGGCCAAACAGAAAAACTTATCAGCCGATATATCGGCCTTGGCTATGTTGACCACTAGATTTTATGGTAGTAACAATAAAATGCAACAAGAATCACATATTGGCTACCAAGGTATTATTTAAAGTAATGCATGCAATGCACAATTATCGTAATCATTAGGAAGCATATCACAATACCATGATATCACCATCTGATATCATCAGTGTACTATGAAATTCTCACAGTACTAATACGTTCATTATCTTTGTTAATGATGAACATTCAATGACCAGAGTATAACAGATTAATATGGTTTGTTGTCTGGTCAGGCTGGTCTGATTTGATGGTTTTAAGAAGGGTTTGGGGCACTTGTCAGCTGGTAAGGTTGGTATGTTGGTATGGAAATCTTAATTTCTTAATTTTTATTTCCCTTGGAAAACCACAGGGAGACCTTAAAGCTTCTCTCTTGTTGACAACATCTGGTCAACAGTCGGCTGAAAGTACTATGAACATTTACATTTAGACAGAAAATGTAAAATAAAAAGTGAAATAAAAATGAAAATAATACATTTGCCACTTTTTTCAGCACAAGGTTGAGCAGCTGTGTAGAGCTGGAGCAGTGAGCCTCCGCTCACACAGACATGACTTCCCTTCCGCAGCACTCGCCAGCATTCACACAGTGATTTAGGAATGTGTGTGTTTCTGTTTGCGTGCGTGTGAGGGGTGAAAAGGAGACGCGCTGTAGCTACTGCAACTCCTACACTCAAAATTTATGGCTCTATCTCCACGTTTCTGCCAGGAAGAGAGAGCAGTATAGATTACAAAAGCCCCTCTCACTCACACATCCACCAGACACACAATTTTCACACATTTCACACATCTCTGTCCTCTGAACGCATCCGCCTCCAACACCAACGCAGAGAACTCTACAACCTGTGTAGAAGCACACACACTTTAAGCTCTTTAACACTTTTCACAGAGGCTGATTCGCTCTAAAGAGATCTCGTATGCTGTAAATCCTTAAAGGCAGGGTATGTGATTTTTCAAAAACACTTTAGAAAACTGATTCGGGCCAAATCGCAAAACAAACTTGTAACCAATCAGCAATAAGGGGCGTGTCTACTCGTGATGCGGAGGAGAGCGTGTTCAGTGCATGGGACGGACATTAGCCGAGCCGAGCGACAGAAAGATAGAGATGGCGGATAAAAAACAAAAGAGGAAAACGTATGCGGAGGGCAAGACCCTTTTGGGGTAGGGGCGTGTTTGTTTTGGTGATTTCAAATATCAACATTGGCTACCAGAAATCACTTACTCTGCCTTTAAATCTGTCCTTACATTGGGCTTCAGCACTAACCAAAACAATCTGTGTTTTGACAGTTCAACTCATGACTTCACTGGTGCACTCGGAGAACAAACAAGGATGTTGTACAGATCTCTTTCTATCCAAGAAAAGAGACACTTTTAAATCCATTCAGTCTTGGGTGTCCATTCGTTCTGGCTTTAAGATATGTTTACATGGAGGACTCACCAGGTTCTTGAGGAGGGTGGAGAGCTCTTTAGTCAGAGTGGAGAACTTAACGAAGGCCGTGCCCAGATCTGGATTATCCCGACTGATGAAGTTGCTGCCAAACTTATCCAAAGCCTGGGCGCAGGTCTCTTCATTTTGAATATGATCTGACAAAAGATCACAAACGAGCAAAATCCAAACAAATCAACGTCATGCATTTGAAGAGTACACATCCATGATCAAGACTATGGTAGCATGTTGCCTAGTTCCTTGAAGACAGCATGAAATCATTCACTTCCTAGGTAAATTTCCCTGGTATTAATGTACATCATTCATCAGTGCAAATCATTTTGTACTCGAGGAATGTTGGCTTATATCAAATTGCAACCTCAAACTTTCTGCACCTTTGAAATCAAACTTGTCTGCTAATGTAACCATGATCAGGTTGATTTTCCATAATGGGAGTCATTCTATTAAACATTCTACGCATTTTCCATTTTTATTAGAATTTTAGAGATTAATCAGACAAATAATGTATTTATCTCTTGATAAATCCCATTGTGCTATAACAATCTAAATCAATAAATTTTATTATACACTACCATAAAAACATTTGAGGTTGGGAGGATTTTTTTAATGTCTCTTATGCTTACCAAGGCTGCATTTATTTGATAATATATATATATATATATATAATTTCAGTTCAAATAACAAAAAATGTTCCATAAAAGCATCAGGCAGAGAGTGTGAGAATATAACAGGGCTGAATTTATTAAGATGATGTACTTTCATATAGGCATTGTTTGCTACTGGCAACCTGGATGAAACGCTTTAAAGCTGATCTTATAAGTCTATGGAAAACCACTGAAACTTTGAACAGCCATATCTCCGTAAAGGCGTGGCGAATTCGCACCAAATTCGGGCGATCCCTTCAGCTCGAGGAACCCTCTTGAACACGAATCGAGTGTACGTCTCGAAGCCCTCTTTTGAATGAGACCACCCCCGCGTCGATAGCCCCCGGGGTTCGGGAGTTATGAGTGGTTAAATTCGCGGTCTAACGATCCCGGGGGGCTACCGACGTGCGGAGGGTGGTGTTCGAGAGGGCTACTCGAGCTGAAGGGATCCCCCGAATTTGGTGGAGATCTGCTGGCGCGTTCGCGAGATAGTGACACCAGTCAACACTTTCACTTCAGTAAGGAGGTTTATGTATATATATTCTGTTTATGTATATACTGTATTCTATATATATTACCAGTCAAATGTTTGGACACACGAATGGGAAAGTATCCAAACTTTTGACTGGTACTGTACTATAATATACACAACGAATATTAGCCGATATATCTAGACCGATATATCGATATACTCCCTAATATCGGCATTGTATCGGCCCCAAAAAACCCATATCGGTCGGGCTCTAGAAATAAGCATAAACAATGAAATATGTAGTATCGACCAACACAGATTTAACCAAATAAAAGACACAGATTGCCAAATTCAATATCATGCATCCTTTTCCTCAATTAAATTATAACAAAAACATTTTGATAAATGTTTAATATAACATTTATGCACTATGCAAATATTTAGTGACGCACCGATATTTTAGCAACTGAAATGTTTTCGGCCAAAACTATTTTTGGTTTAGTCAAAATAGGGTAATTTCTAATTTGTGCACACTGTGGATAACTTACAAGAGGTAAACATGTCAGCTGCATGGATACCAGTGCTGGATTTACAATATCAATTTCTAATTTTTAATTAATATTGATATGGATTTCTTAAATCTCAAGATCAGTCTTTTAGTCCATACTGTTTTCTGCTCATGCATTAACTACACAAAAAAAAATTTCTTTCATGACAACTCTCGGAGGGATTGGCATGGTAATGTACATGACAATGTTAATGTGTTTGGTCTTGGCGGAATAGATCTGCTACGCTGCTGCAGCTTCAGAGCAAGTACCAAGACTTGCTATTGCCAATACATCCACTGCTGTGAGCATGTAAGAAATACTGCTGCTGCACATATAACATATATGAAATAACCCATATATAGCATACATGAATCACCCCGTAGCAGATCTCTACAGGTGGAGCTGGGGAAGGTGGAGGGTTTCTGAAGTGCGCTGCAACTGCTACTACTGCGCTAGCCGAGTATTTGAATGTAAAGCAGCGAGCTCATTGGCTGCTGATACAAAAAGAACCAGTTGCTGAGCTATGTGATGATATCATTACTGTAATTGTAAAAAAAAAATGCCATTCAATGATCAATTACTAACCAATATCCACTAAACTGTTATGCTAAATTTTCATTTGTATAATATATAATGTATAATGTATTATGTAATACATATTCCTGCTACTTCTATAAATAATCTTTAGTGATATTTCAATGTATGGTTTTTCAGAGACAATGACAAAATAAGGCCAAAACAAAGAAAGACAATATTTTTTGACCGTTTAATGTTTAGTTGACCACTGATTTTAGGCTGTAGGAGGTCAAAGTCAAAGTTCACTGGTGAAGGCTGCCACATGTTTCCTGCTAACACTCTTATCCCGTCAACACAGAGCAGGCATTTCCTTCCTAAGCCAGAAATAAGTGCAAAAACCAACCCAAGCCTGACAACATACTGCTACACACAATACATAAAACCAAAATACAACTCAACCTGTATTGGACATTGAAAAAAACTATAAAATTTTAGTTTTTATTTATTTTAAATAGGACATATTCTTAATATTGCCCATTTAATGGTTATAGCCATTTTGAGCTTTTTAAAATTTGTAAATTATTAAACATAATTTTTATAGTATTACATAGTTGTTTTTGCCTTTTACCGTATATATTTGAGAAGTTTTATACTCGTTAGATATCTTTTGTATTTTCCCCAAATGCTGTGTTTTAATACTGATCAACTAAATTCACCGTTACAATTTAACAATGCATGAACATTTTAACAATAACAGGGCCCTATAATATAAATTTTACTTTTTCACAAATTCTGTGTTGTCTTAATTTTTCTTGATTCTGTGTTTTATAAATGAATAACAGTTTGTTACCATGGGGACAATAGTCCATATAGCAATGTCTGATTGTACAGCACTACTACCTTAATTTTTTCATCCAAATTCTGTGACATTTCATATTATACAGTAAATTCCATGTTTATGACTGGATTCCACGAGTCCATCCATGTTTTCCGCATCTCTGAAATCATAGGGCCCTACCCTAGGAGGTCCACCAAGTTTGCTTCAAAGCCTGCCCCACTCCACCCAGAGCAAATGTCCCAATACATATTTCACATCTCTTCCGACAATGGAAGCAAACCTTCCCCTGACAGAAAAATGTGGGAATGTGACAAAGAAAACAATGTATTTAGCTTCTAAGGTCTCTGACAGTGAATTATCATTTATTTTTCCACTACTTCAGGAAACTAATAGTAATTTCAAAAGAACACAAGAAAAACTCTTTAAAAACTCTTTTTGGCCCAAGCCAAATCCTCGGAGCTGTGTGCATTATGGGCGTACACAGCATAGTTTAGATTTTATGAAAAACCACTTGCGTTCCAGCCTGATACTTTCAGGCCTGATGCAGCTGTAAGTATGCGCAAAAGAGAAACAGAGGAGGAAGAAACAAAAGAACAGTTTTAAATGCAGCAGGCATGACTCGCAACATCCTCTTTGTGCCCCAGACACACAACTCTAGAATTTTCCATGATTAATGGAAATATTTCATCTTTCACTAAAGCCACTTTCTGTCTAATGCAACACCCAAAATGAGCATTCATTCTCAGGCATCGCTCCTTAAATAGTTACTCTTTTTCATCCATTGCATTTACATGTTGTAGACCAGACTCTTTCATCTGCGACGCACAGTGGAGTAGCAGCAGTGACAGACACAGAGACTATAGGTGCATCACAGCTGTTAGTATAGCATGGCTATACTGACCAATCATCATTCAGGACCAGAACTTCCATTTTATAATAGTAATTCTGGATGCATTAGGGCAAAATAAGACAAGAGAGATAACTTGTAACCAAGAAGATGGCATGCTGATACTACAGGGCCACTAACCACATATCCTCTCCACAGAATGCCCCTCGAAACTCATTTCACATGCAGTTTTTCTTTTCACAAGATTGTGTGGATTATTTTTGTGGATTACTGTGATGCTTTTATCAGCTAAATTAAATGCAACATTTGTCCAAATCTGTTCCAATTAACAAACAAACTCATCTACATTTTGGATGGCTTGAGTAAATTTTTAGCAAATTTTTGGGTGAACTACTCCTTTAAAGGGACAGATATATATAAATAAATGAAACAAATAAATGAATAAATATTAATAAAAAAAATACATGTACAAACATGCACACATTAAAAAAAATATTTCATGGTGACCAAGATTAATGTATAGCCTATATAATTCACTATAAATCACTGCATTACAAGTTTAAGAACCTGTAACTTCAGAATAAGGGAATTATAATGAGATTTCTCAATCCTTAGTGGGCAGCCTGTGGTTTCAGCTACATTTTAAACCACTAAAATGTAGAGTGCAATTTGGGTGAACTACTCCTTTAAAGGAACAGATATATATAAATAAATGAAACAAATAAATGAATAAATATTAATACAAAAAATACATGTACAAACATGCACACATTAAAAAAAATATTTCATGGTGACCAAGATTAATGTATAGCCTATATAATTCACTATAAATCACTGCATTACAAGTTTAAGAACCTGTAACTTCAGAATAAGGGAATTATAATGAGATTTCTCAATCCTTAGTGGGCAGCCTGTGGTTTCAGCTACATTTTAAACCACTAAAATGTAGAGTGCAAAACATAACCTTACTACTCTTATAGTCAGTGTGACCTACATTTCCTCAAAAATGTGCACACACACACATGCACAAAGAAATGAACAAAATAGGAGTTTTTTTAATTTATTTTTCTACATTGAAAAATAAATTGATTATCTGGCATATTTGTGATATAAAATATCATTACTCACGATTTATGATGAAAGACATTTAGATCAAATTCATTAGCTTCTGTGGTTAGAAAGCTAGAACAGCAAGCATGCCGAGTCTCTAGGGGCCCAATGAATGATCCTCTAAGGGAGCTTGCTAAACTAGGCTGTGCTGTGCTCGCTTTAAAGG